CCTTGAATTGCTCCACTTCCTGATCCTATTTTTTTGAAATCTCATCAGTTCAGCATTTAAATTACCTCTCTGCTTCTGTTTAGAAGTAGTTGGGAATTTTCAATGCTTCTTTCATTACCTCTGCCACTGCTCACTCTACTGATTCTGTCACAGCTTTATGACATTTCACAACTCATAGTCTTTTTTTTTTTTTTTTTTTTTTTTGGGGGGGGGGGAGGGGGTTGGTTAGCATATTTGAATTGTGGGGTTCGTTTTCTTTTCTTCGAATTTCATTTTGCTTAAAAGAGGAGTCAAGAACGCACCATACAAGAATCGTCTTTTATAAGAAGTGTTTTACAATTGTTACTATGTTAAGACAATTGTATGGTTCGGGTATTGACTTCTGTACTTGGAACTTTATTTTATCAATCTAATGCAAGTATGTTTGAATTTTATTTTCTTTTTCTACATAACTGAATTTCAATTTCTCAGTCTTACTGAATATTCTTTTTTTACATTTCCATTTTCTGTAAATGTATATTGTATTCAAGATTGTGGTCCAACGTGCGAGAATAAAGACCATCTTGTCCAAGAGTTGAAAGTCCAGAAATGTGGGGGCCAAAACAATGACCCCTTATATATATATATATATATATAGGAGGGGTGGGGGGTGGGGTGACTCAATTCCCAACTGTTCTACTTGCCTTTGTGGTAGAAAATTGTATATAAAAAAGCATAGGAAAACAGATCTAAAATGTCATTATAGTGAGATTAAACTTGTTGGTAGATCTATTATTAAATGCTTGTGTGAACAAGGCAGTCCCTTTTTAGGCCCAAGGGTGTCGATAGGCAGCTTTATTCTCAGGTTTAAGATGGCACTTGACCATTACACAATTGAATGCTACTTGCCCCTACAACTTGTGGGGCATTCAGAAAGTAACACTTCAAAATTTTCAAAATTATATTTCAATATGTTTGGCCAATTTGTGCGCACATCTATTAATTTCACGAGGTATCTATTAGGCTGCTAATGTAAAACTGTCTCAAAATAAATATCACTTTAGGAATTCAAGATAAAAAATTAATACTCCATATGTCCTAGTTTATATGACTTATTTTCTTTTTTAGTCAATTCAAAAAAGAATGACACATTTCTATATGAAGTAATAGTTTATATGACTTATTTTCTTTTTTAGTCAGTCCCAAAAAGGATGACACATTTCTATATGAAGTAACAATGTCCTAGTTTATATGACTTATTTTCTTTTTTAGTCAATCCAAAAAAGAATGAATGACACATTTCTATTTGAAGTAATGGTTTATATGACTTTTTTTTAGTCAGTCCCAAAAAGAATGACACATTTCTATATGAAGTAACAATTTGACTTTAAAATGTCATTTTACCTTAATGAAATGATTTCTAGTCAAACTAACTCATATAATTAAAATGGGATGGAGGGAGTATGTTTTTCCAACTATACTCTTATATTCCATCTTCTTTATAGTATTTCATTTTCAAGAGACATTTATTAAATAGGAATAGTGTAGTAAACTATATATTATATTTATTAATATCTTAATGGACGTGATTTTTTCTCATGGCGAATATATATCAAGATTTGGATATATGGAAAAATAATTATCTAATATTTTTGTCTCCACTGAAATTTGAATCAGAGACTTCATGACCTGCAACTCATTATATTGACTACTAGTTCACACCATCCGGTGCAATATTGTCAAATATACTATATATAAAATGTCCACTATTGGGCATTTATTAGAAATTTGGAGAATATGATATCCCAACTAATTCCTAACTAATACCTTCTCAGGATAACAATACATGAATTTCATATCAGAATGTCCCTAATGGAAAATATGGGGATATTGGATTCAACTAATTTTTGTATTGGAAAACTCCACTTGAACTACCTTAAGATATGTACTAAAATAGAAGTACACATGGAAATTTTTGTTGTATCTTCAATGGAAAACTTACTTCATAAGGAATATGTATTATATATGCACATAGAAGTGTTTGAAAATTATTGGAATATAGCTAGGGTATGTTCGGAAAGGAGGAAAATGTTTTTATTTTTATTTTCTCATGATCGTTTCGTAAAAAAAATTTGGAAAATGTTATCTCTAGAAAAACAAGTTTCTTAAAAATGAGGAAATGACTTGCCAAGTGAAAGTAAATAGGGAAAACTAGTTCAATAAATAGCATTCCACATTGATTATATTATTTATATATATCCTCTTACATAGGCTTATACACCATATTTTCACCCCCATTCCATATATACTCACCTCCCATATTGTTTGCCTAAATTATATACAAATATTTTTAAAATAATATTTTTTATTACTGGCATACCAAACACAATAAAATAAGTAAGAAAATCACAAAATTTATTTCAAGCTTGATGTGTATTTTTTCTTAAGAATATTTCACTCATAGATGTACTCTCCAAGATTTAACAAATTATTCTAATATTATATAAACTAGAAATAGAAACAACAAAGATTAATTTAAAGCAGAAAACTCAGCAAGAAAAAAGTCGAATATTTTATCTTATCGTGTATCTCTAAAAAAGAAAAATGTGTTTTTATTAGTCTTTACAGAAGGAAAGGAGATCAGGTATACATAACATGAGCAAGAAAAAAAAAGAATATTAAAATGGGGGGCTAACTGTTAGAATGGAAATAATAACTCATTATAAAATAATAAAAACACATTAAACTTAAGTAACTCTTCTTTTTTACTCTCAATATATAACAATTTAATTTTAGGGAAATTAAATGGTACAAATAAATTGTACGTGTTTAATTAAGGAGGCTACGTCTTGAACACGAAAACCACAAGATTTGGTCATAAAAAAAATAGGCTAACAAAGGAAAAGGAGACATTATAGCATGAGGACCTCCTCTATACACCTATTGAAAATGTAGTTAATTAATTAATTAGGTAATTAAATACCCTAGCTAAGCATTTTAAGCCAGAGAATTCTAACCAATTAAAGAGAACTATCACCATAAATCAATTTTTTTGGTTAAACTTATTGAGTAAGATATACGAAATATTTATCAATATAGTAGTCAAAATATATAAAATCTATATATTTATTACGTATACTATACTTAAATATACAAAACGTATATTCTTATTGGTTATTTTGTAAACCAGATCACCTAAAAAAAATTGAATTATACTTAACTATAGTACTTACTATTTTAAAAAAATTATATGTCAGATTTATCTTTTATACGTTTCTTAAGAAAACATTAAATATGAAGATTCCCCCCCCCCCCCCACCCCCCCCTCAAATTTATGTCTTAAGATATACTAATTTTTTTTAAAGTGTTTAATTATTCCAATTTTGTCGTAGAAGCATTTTTACTCCAAAGATTAGTCCTTTGAGTGCCGATTCGTGCTTCATCTAATATTTTTATATTTTGGCACATTATCTCAAACTTTAGTGTAAAAATAATTAGTAATAGCATTTAACTTTGTATTTTCAATGCCGTCAAATATCGCGAGTACTTTAACTTTAACTTGGTGATCAATAGTGGTAGGTTGGGTTTACAAAAATAGACTTGGAAAAATGATTCATCTAATTCGTTTAAGTTGGACAAGTTAAATAACACATTCAAGTTTTGGATTAGTTCAACACAACTAAAAATTGGGTTTAGTCAAATCTTAATAAATATGTTTAGTCAAATTAAAGACTAAAACTAAAAATCAAGCCGAAAATGTTAGTATTAACCATAAGAATTTCTAATTCTATCGATTGAACAAAAAAAAATGCTATAATCATAAATAAAGGTGAGAACCCACGTGGTGATAAGGAGGGGGGAGGGTCACATACACCCATTAACTTCACAAAAAAAAATCAAAATATATATATATATATATATACACATTGAAATGTGAACATATATTTAATTAGGCATCCTAACACACAAAAGCAAGTTGGGTTGAAATCCCTGTTTAGCTCTTCTTCTCGTCTTGAATGACTTGGGTGTTTTGCTTTTCTTGGTGTTTTTTTTTCGTTTTTAGCTGACAAAATAAGCATAAAAAAATTGCAAGTATCGAAGATGTGACCTCATAGGCACAAAATGGTTTTCACAACCATCCCCCACAGAGTAAGCTTTACCAATTAGCTAGGCTTATTTAATTCATATTTATAGGTTAGTATATCGGATGAACCATTACTGCATGACATGACATGCTTTAATTAATGTACATCTATTTTTTGTGGTGCTCTCATCGTCTTGAAATCCTGAATTTGCTTTTGATGATAAAAGTTCTTATAAGTTGTACTTTCATATTAGAGTGATCACAAAGATTATGATAGATGATTAAGTACTCTAAATTAGAGTTGTTTTTCATGAGCATACAAAAGGGGGGAAAAAAGAGTGTTCAGGCAATGTAAACAACGTCCTTTCATGTTTCTCATTGCGTAACTAACTTTTCACGAGAGAAAGCAAGGGTGATGGCTTGCCTCTCTTGCCACCTGGGGCGGAGTTAGAAGTTCAAGTACGAGTTTGATTGAACCAGTAATCTTTATTGTATATATAAATTTTATTTAAAATTCAATTATTAATACTTGATATCATTATAAAATTCAGAACCCATAAAATTAAAATTCTGACTTCATCTTGCAACACTACTAGACAGTGTATATTATTGTGACAAAAAGAGATGTTAGAGTATAGGGAACTAATTATAAGTAGAGTATTGTTATTGAAAAAAAAAAAAACGTAACCAACTAGTAGTATGCAAGAAGACAGTACGTAGTGCTTGAGAGAAACGTTTTATGAGAATCTGTTAAAGAGAATAAAGTGATAAATGACTCAAAGACAAGCTACTTTGAATCCCTTTTATATATATACACCCAAATGTTATTGTTCATCTCCCTCCTTATTCAATACATACGCTAGCAAGCTGCACTCTCCGGGAGCTTAATTAATTACTTGCAGAGATCGATCGATCGATCAATCAATCAATCGTATAAATGGCACCCGTCGGACTACCTCCTGGTTTCAGATTTCATCCCACCGATGAAGAACTCGTCAATTATTATCTCAAAAGAAAAATCCATGGCCAGGAAATTGAACTTGATATTATTCCTGAAGTTGATCTCTACAAATGTGAGCCTTGGGAATTAGCAGGTTCAATTCAATTTCTTCATCTTAATCAATTAATTCATATTCTCCGTTTTCAATTTACTGAATTACTCATATATATTTCAATGTATGAAACAGAGAAATCGTTTTTGCCGAGTAGAGATCCGGAATGGTACTTTTTCGGTCCAAGGGATAGAAAATATCCAAACGGATTCAGAACGAATAGAGCAACTCGAGCAGGATACTGGAAATCTACGGGGAAAGATCGGAGAGTGACGTCACAGAATCGCGCCATTGGGATGAAGAAGACGTTGGTTTATTACAGAGGAAGAGCGCCGCAGGGGATTAGAACTGATTGGGTAATGCATGAATATCGACTCGATGATAAAGAATGTGACGAAATCTCCAGTATTCAGGTAGTTCGTATTGTTATTCTAATTTTATTTAACTTACTCGTTTACATCAAACCAATATAAAATTTAAAATAAAATAGAATGTACTAATTTGAAAATTACTCTCAATTCTAAATGATTTGGGCTCTTAAATACATGATCATAATCATTATCAACTTTCCTGCAACATTGCTTTACTTTTATTTTATACCGTCATTTATTAATTAACTATATATATTCAAGTGATACTCCATCTATGTTCATTTTAATTTTAACGGCTAATTGGTTAAATTTTTTGATTTGGTTTAAACATTTGATGGGTAAATATTTTACGGTAATTAGTTTATATACACAACATTAAGGAGTAAATAAGGTTTTTCATAATGAAATTTAATTCAGATCATGATCGCTTAATTTATAATAATTATTGTTTTGGATGCCATTAATTCTCTTTTGTTTTTCTTTTTACTTTTGTATTACATCTTTCCTTTTTCCATGCGTTAATTACGATTTTCAAGACTTTTAATCTTTTTGAAAAAAAAATTAATTCAACTAGTCCAATTACGAACACTAGAATTAATCACGAACTTTGTTGTTGGTCCATCACTATTTTGTTCTAATTCATAGGTAAGTAGAATTAGCAACGAATTTTCCTGTTTAGCAACAAAATTTGTTTGTTGCTAAATTCAGTTATTTAATAGTAGATTATATTTTTTTTAAATCACTTAGACACAAGTGTCAGCATTTGACTTTAAAAACATGGAAATTTGCTGGAGATTAAAAAAAAAGCATTAGCTCTCAACATGTTTTTCTTCAAATCTCTTTTTACAGTTAAAGGATGTGATAAAAAGCAACAAGATTAATCGTCTTTACCATGTGCCCACCCATGTTATTTGGCTTTTGTAACCCCCCTCCCCCCCCCCCCCCAACCAAGGGGAAAAAATGAGAAAAAAGAAAGTGAAAAAAATTCATCTTCATCTAAAAGAAAGAAAAGAAGGGGAAAAAACATTTTATATCGGATCATAAGATGATAGTTACGTACAATTTGAAAATTCATATAAAGAGAGGAACGTGGACTGCATGGCATGCATGGAAAAGCTAGGTCTTTTGTCTCTTACTATCACTTACTTTCTCCTTTTACACTATTTTGCTTGATATATGGAATAGTATATACCTTTTCTATAATCATTTTGTCCGAGTTAGATTATGTGTATCTTGATTAATTTCACTGAATAATACTTAGTTACTATCTCCGGCCAACATTGGTGGAGTTAGCTCATTCATTGTAGTGTGTGGATTCTACCGAACCCACTAGCTTTGGTTGGCATTTTATATTTGTATTAATTTATTTTTTTATTGAATAGGTAAAATTATAAATTTAAAACTCAATAACTTTAAAAGAATTAAAATTCTAAACCCATAAACTTTAAATTTTGGTTTCGTCTCTACCTGCTAACACAAATAATACCAAATCTTCGATAGATGAGAATTGAAATGAAACCTCATAATTCTCAAAAGTTATATTATTTAGGACCCACATTTGAGTGTTATTATTGTGTAATAATATCATAGTATATGATAAGATACCTTTTATGATAATTTAAATAAAATAAAAAAGACATATTCTTTACTTGCAGAGTTTTAGATGTCTTTGAGTGAAAAAAAGTCTATAGTTTCACTTTGTCTTTGGATAGTAAGACAAAAGTAAAATCCTCCCATATGACTGAATCTAGTTGTAAGCCTCCAATCATCATCATGAGTACTATTCTACTTTCTCTTTTTGTTGATTTTTCATGATCACTGATTATAAAAACACTAATCAAAGATTCTTCTACCAAAAATTGAAATCATCATAACTTGGATTTAACCTAAAAGCATAAGGTCCCCACCCCCACAATTAATAAGTACCACTTTCATTCTGTGACAAGGTGTCGGTTGCTTTTCACTTTATTCCTGTTTTACCTTAATAAGCCAATCTATGTTCAAACATCTATATTTAACAATGACTTCACCATACAAGTGAGGTCCATTTTTGTTCAAAAACACGACATAGAGATAATTTTATTATAAGTCTCATTCACAGTCGATGGAGATAGAATTTTTATTAAAGAATTATATACAGTATTGAAAGCACCCCTAAATTTGGTGTGAATTATTATAAGTTTCATCCACGAACTATTGACATCCTTAAAAACACTCATTCTACTTGACTAACTGAACTTAAATACAACTTTGATCTTGCAATATGAGTGAAACACACCACCCCTAAGTTCTCGTCAAGTTTAGGAGTGTTTTCAACACTCACCTTGGCTTTTAATTAAGAGTCTCACGCTCCTACAAGAGTTTGAGACCACTTGTTATATCATGTGACAGATCGAGGGTGTATTTAAGTTGAGTTAGTCAAGTAGAAGTGTGTTTTTAAGACTATCAATAGTTCGATGAACCCCTTTCGTCCCTTTAACCCAACCCCTACCTACATTTATCATTGAAGATATTTTTAAGTTCAAATGTAATTGTACTTTTAAATTGTAAGATTGGATAGTGAAGGGAGTAGGGACAAGAAGAATCGTTAATTATTATACTTTTTTTTTTCTTCATACAAGTAGAGAAACAAGAACAATGATCTTCCCTTTTTCAGTATCTGTCCCTCTACTTTATAGGATCTCTTGTATAGGGAGCTATATAGTTGGGTTTTTCTAATCATATCTAAATAAATCCAGCAAAGCCCCAATTATTGACTACTCAAAACTTTTGTTGTCAGCAAATGTACTTGTTTGATGCTCTGATACAAGATTTAGTCAATAACACCCCTCTTTCTCTCTGAAAAGAATAAAGATTCTAGATATGACAGCTCATACATAAATAACTAATCTCACTTTTTATTGCTACTTATCTTACATTAACAATTCAACTTATTAAATAAAAAAACATGGTTAAATTATAGTGATTTTGTATGTTCGAACACATGTTATGCATCCATTAGTTTCGTTAAGTTTTAATTAACCAGCTAGGATTAGGATACTAATACCAATATAAAATTTTGAAATACATTTATCTTGTGTTTGGTTATTTAGTATTAGCTTAAAATTGATTATAAATTTTATTACCAAAATCTTGGTAATATCTCTCTCATATAGAATATGTGATTACACTACTAGAAAGTCCTTTGCCACCGCAAATCAACGGAAAATACAACATAAATTTTCCCACTCATTTTCCATTGAACCAATTCAGTAAGAAAATGCATGGTGGAAAACTTACTAACTTTTCCGTATAGTATACATTACTACTACTTTTTCATTGAGAATAACCACTAAACATTTTTCAGTAGAAAACAAAGGAAAATAGTGTCTTTTAGTTGTGTTACCTGTTATCCTTGGATTATAATCTTCAAATATCCTTGTTCCTAACCAAACAATCCTTTATTATTATATAGAATTAAGTTAAACTCTTGCCTGTATAGATAATTGACATTCTTTTTTTTTTGTTGTGCAAACAGGATTCATATGCATTGTGTCGTGTATTCAAGAAAAATGGTGTTTGTTCAGAAATAGAAGAACTAGGACAACCTAGTATTAATGTACCATCATTTGAGTACCCATTAACTCAAGGAATTAACAACAATAATAATGTTCATCATGAACAATACCAAACACCATCTCCAGATGTTCCATTAGCATCATCATCATGTTGTATTGAAGAAGAAGAAAAAGATGATTCATGGATGCAGTTTATTACAGAAGATGTATGGTGTTCTTCCAACTCTTCTTTTCAACAAGGTGAAGACATCTCTCCACTTGCTTTCACAAATTTATAAACAACATAGCACGAGCTCGATCCATCTATCGATGACATAAAATTCTTCTTACCATAATAATTCATATTATTTTATTATAAACTATGTAACTTTTTTGTTTTTTATTTCCTTTACCTTGATTATGAACAATGATTTCGCTAATTGTACTTAGGGGTTTTTTAATTATTTGTTTTTTGTGACTGGTCATATTATATATATACCTGTATAGCCAATCAGTTTATCTTGTGGCTTTAAGGGTTCAGATTTTGACCTCTTTCTTTGAGGTTGTCATGGTGTTATACTTGTGAAATAAAAGGGAAATGGTTGTTATTTACTCTTCTCCTCTTCTTATATTTATGTCTTTTGAGAGCAGTATAAATATTTTAATTTGGGAAACGTATATTATATGTACATATTTTGTAAACTAGATAGTCCAAAGATATTAGGTACGAAAAACTAAAATCGCAATCAGCAATTACTGTATGGCCTTTAATTCTACGACTAATACTAAACTTAACCAATAGTGGTAAGTTGTTGGTAGGGGCCTAAGATTACAGCAAATAAAGGCTATATGGGAAAAAGTCAAATGAATCAATTGACCATTTCATTCTCAACGAAGATTTTTGAACCCTACACTCCTGACTCAGACGTGACAATCATTGAACATAGTTCATGAACTGTAACATCAATGTGATAAGAAATATTAGACTATAACATCAATGTGAAATGAAATATTAAACTATAACATCAATGTGAAATGAAATATTAGACTATAACATCAACGTGATACGAAATATTAGACTAATATCAATATGATATGAAATACTAGACTATAACATCAATGGGAAATGTAATATTAGACTAAAACATCAATATGATACGAAATATTAGACTATAACATCAATGTGATATGAAATATCATACTACAACATCAATGTGATATGAAATTTACATGGCAAGTGCATGGAATATTTTGACATTTACTAGGGCATAAAAAAAAAAAATTATGACAAGGGAAACCCGCAGCCGCTACCCTTTGGGTGCGCACAGGGTAAAACCCCTGCTCCTATGCAATAGCTCGCAAACCACATAGGAGAGATAACTCGTACTAGGCAAGTCCGGTGCGACGAGCTCAACCCAGAAGGTAAACCCCCTTGCTTTCGCTGGCAAGGGGTTTCAAACTTGAGACCTCCAACATGGAAGTCCCAAGTCCAAACCACTGTACCACCCCGAAGGGTACCTAGGGCTAAAAAAATTAGATTACTAAGCAATGGATTCTTGACAAATTGCTACCGCTTGAAGATCATACAGCTCTTTGTGATGATAAAGATAGCAAGCAAAATGACTCTAGCACCATTGTTATAAACAAATTTAGTAATGAAAACATAAATAGTATGAATTTTATTACATAAACTCAAAACTTATATCAAAATATGACTTTACGCCAGTAATTTTATTGAGTACCCTTGACTGGGTGTGAAGATGCTTATGGTTCTTAGTTTCTCCAAATTTTATCATATGAAAATCAGTAAGAAACTGTCTACTTGAGGTGTCCCAAAAGAAAACCACCAGCAAATTAGACCGCACTGCCTCTGTCAAGCCTTGCGAAAGCAGAGCCACACTAAGCAAAAAGATAATCGACCAGTAAAGAACTAATTCTTTTTTTTTCATTAGCCATAAATTAGCTTTTGACATTCTTTTTCACCAGGAAGGTCGTTTCTTACATTAAAAAGAAAAACTACATAGACCACCTTTGACTATAAAGTTGACACTATTAGAAGGTCTGAAGTCTAGCATGAGCAAAAACTGCAATCATACATATCCTAAGATGGGGTATCCCAGGATTAAGTTTGGAATTAAATTTATACTTTGATGATAAATTTATATCTTTGACCAAACAAAGTAAAAATTTAATACCAAGATATCCCACCTTCCAAGTGGGATAAATTAGTCCAACAATTATAATCCTGAGATACTTTAGTCAGGAACCAAACAACCCCTCTATATTAGGGGTCGAGGATTAGCCTACTTCCATCATCATGGGACAAAAGATGTAAAGCAGATTAGTTAGTAGGATCGTGTGCGCAAAACGAAGGTGCCACAGAAGCTCCAGCTTATTCAATTTTGACTGCAGGCATTACCTAAGACCTAGTTGTCGGCCTAAGACAAAGGGCCAAACTTCAGTTAGATCTTCAGGGCAATAGTACTTCACCTATGTCGAGGCTCTATTTGAAACCTTCCAATTCTCAAACTCAGCACATTTTAACATACATGAACTGGCATTTTGATGCCCACCGCCACCAAATGCCTGCGAATTCCCAAGAAATATATTATACATGACTGCAAACTGTATTTTATTACTCATCGAAAGATGTGAAAAGTAAACAAAGCAAGAACCTGGGAGATAGATGTCGTATCTTCATCACCAATGCTCCTCAGGCTAACCTTTAACATCTCATTATTTTCAAGCTCAGGTACCTTATAAACAATAGCTCCAATACCCCTGACATACATCCAACAAGAACAATGAAGAACTATTTCTACAAGCATTCAGCAAGTGATAAAATAAGATATTACTGACATTTTACTAGCTATATCTTGAAGGTTCGTGAAATGACATGGTTGTCAGAACTTCTATAAAGTTATATTCTACTTCCATCACATTCAAAGACATATTTCAAGGAGAAACTATGACTAAAAATTGTGGTGTCCAGGTTAACTTGCGTGCACAGAGATTAAAAATTGTGATGTCGTCACTCACCTATACCACATGTTATTAGTAATCAAGTATTGGTTGCCATATTACACTAAAAACATGCTTACTGTTGCATTGGAAGTCTTTAGGTGTAATGAAGAAATTTTTAACAGTAATGATGTTGAACAAGGGGAATTCTAAACTTCACTCTTACAATTCTTGTAATTTCCCTTTCTCCTACTATCCAGCACACTAAGACAATATTCTTACAGAAGTCCGTATTGTTTTTGACCATCTCCCTTTTTTCTGATAACGGTGGTGTCCAGACAAGCTTTGCACACTTTGAATATTCCACCTAGAAACCAACACAGGGGCCGATGTACTGGGCAACTCCACCCACCAATTCTTAGGTAGATGGGAAGAAATCACCTAGTGTTCTTTGTTTATGCTTGGATTTGAATCCTGGTCTGTCTCCAAGGTTTGCACCCACTTCATTCCACTAGGCCACCCCCTTGGCACAACATGATATATAGAGAGAGACAGAGCCAAAAGCAGGGCCTCTGACCATCCCCATAATTACAGCATTCTAGAACCTCAGCAAAAGATAATTTGCAGCATGCTTTGTCAACAGCATCAACTCAAAAAAAAAATTCATTTTCTCACTAACCCTATAACAATTTATCCAGACTACGTTCTTTTGACTCTGCAATTCTACATTTGCACTGAACTCTCCGATATTTTTTAACAGCTCATTGTCTTTCACTTGTCGGTTCACTTGTCGGAACACTCCAAATAGCTACTCTCTCAGCTTTCTTACATATGCCTAATACACATGTCAGCTCATGTAGATCTTTCAAAAATGCACTAAACTTGATGAAACTTGTGGAGCCTTCCAGCTATTCGCCACACATACAAAATACATACCCTTATCCATATTCACACAAATACCGCCAAGGCCAACTTAACAAAGGAAATTATAAAAACAGACAGATGAATGCAAGTAGCAATTTTGGTTCAGATTATCAGTATATTTGAAGTTGTCACTTGAATACAGTTTTCAAGATAAATCCTTAGTAGTTTTCTGGCACAAACTCCTAATCCAACTTCAAACAACCTATAGATGAAATAAGTGCCATTAGCAAAACTAATTTGAGATTTCATCATGTAAAACGGTGTCTTTGGATAGCTTTAGACAATTATATAATGTTAAGACATGATTAAAAATGTCTTCTCTACCGTAGATTAAGCTTTTAGATTAGACGATCACATAATAAGACAGGGTAACAGAGCAGGTAGAGGTCCTCAATTCATGTCTCACCACTACCAACTATCAAAAAGTATTTTCACGTACTTGACTCAAGGGAAAAGAATCAAGCTTCACGTTTGGAGGCATGTTAAGACAAAATTAAATTAATGAAAGTATCACCTTTACAACAACTTAACTTTTTAAATGAGGTATATTATATACTTCAACAAATTGAATAGTAAATTTACATCATCCAATTTTTCGTGAAATCAAGTGTTTGCTCCAACGAGAAACAATTATTAATCTTCCCGAACTTATATTATCAGAAATGTATCACAAGACACAGGGAGATAATAGGAAAGAAGGAAAAAATAAAGAAATAATGCATCATAGAAATTGATGCACACAAGAAGCAGGGAAGTACAAACCTCAACTTCATATTACGACTTTTGACTGCCAACTGGTTCCCAAGCTCACTTCTTAACTCAGGCACAGAATCTGCATTAACTGCCTACAGGAAAGATTGAACCATCTTGTCATTCTCAAATTCTCTGAGCCATATGAAAATGGTTTATAAATATAGTCTAGAGGAAATATTGCACAAAACGGTAACATCTGGTTGCTGACAATTACTGAGTATAAGCATTGTTAAAATACGTGAAACTAGAGGAGGACCCACTTAGAAAGAATTCATGTATCAGTAAGGCATAGCTTGTTGCATTTTCTGGATGGAATTAGTAGGAACTAAATCTTTAAGGTACAGTTACAGAGTTTTTTTTGTCAGCCATAAATACTGAGGGCACATACACTATTTATCTTTCAAAGAACTAGTGAAGAAAGTGGTACCCAGAGCATTTTGAGATAAACGGCCTATATAGTTGTTGGGGGCATCCTATAAAATTGGAAATGTAAACAGCCTCCATAAAAGAGATACATGCTATCCATGCTCGTGAATGTATCAGATAAATAAGTTGACTTCATCCCCGAGCACACCTTTGAATTGTTAGATTCACATAGCTTGTATGGTCAAGAGCTTTCAGTAGTCAAGGCACCACTCAGGGAAATTGACAAATGAATGAC